CCCCCCCCTTTTTTTTTTTTGGAGAGAGTACAATTTCCATTGATGTCTCAGGGAGGGAAGTTTGCTCACTTGGTACCTTACCAGCTGCTTTCAGGGCTGACCAGCAGGCACAAACCAGACCTGCCCTGCCTTTAAAAAACAAAAAAGCCACTTTACATGAAGTGGGAGTTTTTCAGCTTAGGCAGCAGTTACCCTGAATAATAAATAACAGGAGATCTCATCTGGGCACATTCACAAACCCCACCAGAAAGGCAGAAAGCACCCCCCAGGCTCCTGCAGCTCACCAGGTGACCCCAAGGCAAACAGCGCACCCTCACGTCCCTGCCATATGGACCTGGTGCACATCGCCCCTGTATTTCCTTCCTCTGAGATAGTCACCTGCTGTTTGAGAATTATTAACCTGCTTCCTGAGGCCAGAGAACCTTCCCATTTTATTGTTTAAGTGTACACACATTTATATTAAATGCTGCCTTACAATAATAGAATCCTAGATCTAACTTTGATCAGATACCACATGCTAACTGCAGACCCTTCTCCAGATACCACATGTACCCACATTTGCTGCCTGCTGTGTTCACAGTAACTCAGCCAGCAGGGCTCCTGGTCACCCATAGCGAGAGGCAGTCACCGATCAGGCCCAACCACAGCTCTCCCAGGCATCGGAAAGGCCCATAGGCCCAGAGACCTGTGCACTACACGAGGCTACCCATGTGGCGTCCACCTCTCAGCCCACAAGGACTGCAGAGTGGATGCTGGACCACACCTACACTGCTCTGGGCTCCTGGAAGGTTGAGCTAAAGTGAACCCGAGGGCCTCTGTACTGTGTCCTGGTCCCAGAGGAGCTCCAGGGAAGGGCAGGGCTTCGGGTCCCACCCAGACCAGTAGCAGTCTGCACCTTAGTAAGGTCCCTGGGTGGACAATTGGGTAGAACTGGCAGACTAAATGGAAACACATGCACAGGTGATGTTGGGAGAGCTGCTCTGTAAAAACTGCAGGTGAGGAGAACCCGGGACCTGAGGGCCCAGCCTCCAGCTGAGACTGTTCTTTCTTTGGAACCCAAGCGCCAGGTCCTCCCCATCCTCCAGCTATTCAGGTGCACCTTTGGGGATGGTTGCTGCTTGTCTAACATACTCTCGGTCTACTCCTTCATTCAGGGTTTCAGTTAGGAGTATGGCCTCTTCTGCTGGTCAGCGGGGTCTTGTGACTTGAGCACCAGCTTCTGTGATCTATAAACTGCTGCAGCTTTGCTGACGTCCAACGTCCGTGCTGAGTAAACCCCCTTGTGCAGGGTCCTGAAACTCCTTGCTCTGAGGCAGCACCTGGTGCAGTGATGATATGGGGAGTGGGAGGGATCCAGGAGGTCAGTCTGCAGTGATTAGATGATTGCTGCCCCTCCTCCTGCAGCCTAGCTGCTTGACTCACCCCCTCTAGAATTTCATGCAGATGGCTTTGTGTTATGAAGTTGAGGGGACTCATCCTGCACATGACCTAAAATTTAAGTAACAACGGCACAGAAGCTGTCTGCTAGGAAGCAAAATTGAAGTTACTTCCATGAGCCCCAATGCCCCCGAGAGAGGGGCAGCGCCCAGCTGTGGAGAGTCTGTGGCTGCCCCTAACCTCCACAGCCTCCCAGTTACATCATCTAACTTCTGCCACCAGATGTGAAGGCCCCTAAAGTACTGTAAATTATTAAGTCAACGACTTAGGGCCCATGGTTGCTTCCCTATTGGAGGTGTCCATATTGCATCCAGGGAAGATTTAAAGGAATAAATGGCTTTAGCAGTTGGTGTAGTTGTTGTAAATGCTGTTTACTGAGGGGCTGTCTCAGTGACTGACTGGGCCTGGGTTTATCTCCATTGCAGACTATAAGCGGTGTGCCAGGCTGCTGACCCGGCTGGCTGTGAGCCCCGTGTGCATGGACGGGTGAGGTAAGCCCCGCACAACCGAGCCTGCACAGACTGGGATCCCACTGGGAAAGGGAAAAAATTCATGGGCCTTTAGTAACACTCATTTTTTAGCCAGGGTGGCCTTACTTTAAGTTGACATCACACTCAAAATATCTCCAAGGTACTGGTCTATGCAGTACCCCCGGATGCTGATTGGCACATGGTATGTTTATTTGAAACAGACCAGTAGTTAACTACTTTCAGTGCATGAGTTAGTGTGTGACTTAGGTGCACATCTCAGGTCCTGCCTGTTTCACTCCTAACACTCATACAGGAGCACGACTAGCAAGTCCATGCAGGTTTTATAGACGTATCTGGCAAATGTTTGACTTGGGTTCTACCATTATGCCAATAAGCTTATAAAGAACAGCTCAGATTAGCTATCCTTTTTAAATGTTTCTATCAGTTTTTTCTTAGCCTCTAAGGGTAAAATTGTGAATACACGTTAAGAATTTATGAACTGTTTACCTTGGCCTCTTGAGGGCTGACATGTAACATGTAACACTAGTTGTCAGTCAGTGGACACATGAAAGTTATTTTCCTGACACAGTAATTTCGTAGTTTTATACTTACTGTGTCCTGTGTGCTGAGCCTGTCCCCACTAGTAAGACAGGCCTTGGCCCTCCAATGGCCATCCCAGGAAATCTATCAGCTGTCCAGAAACACCCATAGAAAGGGGACATACGCGCTTTTCTAGTGGTTCCTCTCCTTTCTCATGGAGCACTGACCTTCCCCGGGAGTGAAGGCCAAGTCCCTCCTGCTCTGTGAGAAGCCCCGCATGGATGAGAGGAGCCACCTCGGGTGCACTGGAGGTCACTCCACATTCTATTCAGGTTGACCGAAAGCAGTGTTGACTGCCAAAGCTGGGAAAGGCTATGCCGCCCACCCTCTTAACTGTCCAGTTTCTCTCCCTCTGCCCACGTGGCACCCAGAAGATACTTTCACAAGCATTGAATGGATTCTTGTACATCTCCCACGGTGATATGCTAAGGGGAGATGAAAATGTTATTTTTATTAAGCTTTTCTTTATAGTTAAAACATCACTGTTTCCAGATCCTTGGAAAACTGCTTCCACTTACCAGAAGGGGGACAGTGCCCTCTGGCTACACTCACTGCATGCACTCAGGCTACAGGCTCCTCTCTGCCCACTAACTAACCAGCCTCCGCAGCTGCTTGTCCTGGACAGACTGTTGTCAGGAGAGCAGGTGTCATTACCACCAAGGGGATGATCCCATGCCTGGAGTTACTCCTGAGTGAGGCTCTGCTTCTGTGTCAAGATGGGCACCCCAGGGCTTGGCCAAATGCAACTCAAATACTTAGGGAAATCCAGGAAGGAAAGGCACCTGGCTTGTTGAGCAGACATGGCCTGGGAAATGGCACTGCTCACCCACCCTACCCGTCAGAATCTAAGAAAATACGTTCAAAATGCAGGTGCTACTCCCAAAAGGTCACCAGGCTTGTCACGTGTCACAGCTGTTAACTTCATTTTGGCCAAGAAATGGGTAGTTTAGGACATTGCTGCTAACTACAATTTCACATTTTAAAGATTAATTTCTTCTAGTTCGTTTTAAAACTGCAGTAGCAAACTAACTGGTTGGTCAGTGTCCCTGGCGGCTGGGTTAGGGCGCCCGCAAATTCAGGGCAGAGGGTGTGGGCTCCTGGTGCACAGCAGGCTGGCCCTGTGCTGTGAGCTTCTCTCTCTCAGGGGTCTGAGTGCGAGAACTCCCTCTGTGACCTGGAAGAGACCCCGTGCCTCCTCTCTGAAGCTCATTAACTAAGCTCCTCTGGCCAAGGAGCCAAGTCCCTGCTTCCCACCCTCAGTTTCACACACACACTGCGTGGCTGCACGTGTGGCTCAGGTTAAGTTAGAAGCCTGAGCAATAGCGTCAAAGAAATGATACCTAGCGTAGTAACCGTGACATTCCTCTTCCTTTCTAAAGTGAGTCTGTACAGTGGCTCAGGGCCACATGGGCCCTGGAAGTGCTTATTCTTGATCAGCCTTGCAGGCCCCTTCCCACTGAGGCACAAGCCAGTCAGCTCCTGCCCAGGACGGCTGCACACTGTCCGTCAGGGCAGACCGAGCTGCTGAGGATCTGAGGGCAGTGTCAGGACGATCTGAGGGCAGTGTCGGAACCAGTCCACTTGTGCTCATGACAGTTCTCACTCCTCCAGCGCAGCAGGTGTGGATCATGGCGCAGCTGCTTACTTCCCACTCTGGGGACAGATTCCTTGCATTTACAAACATCATGTTACGTAGCTGATCACAGGGCTTTCTGGAGCCAGTAAGTGTGGAGAGTGACAGGACCTGTGTTTGCTTTCAGCAAGTGACTCTGGCGGAGACCCTGAGAAGTGCCTTGGAAACCAACAGGGAAAACAGACCTACTACCCTCATGAACACCCCCCGTGAACAAGAGATTTATTTTTGCAGACTTCCGTACTCCTTGAATTTCTGTTGTTGACACGGTCTGCAGACACGTGTCAATAAGTGCACCTGAAGGCAAGCCTGCCACTCTCTGCTTTAGGAACAAGGAAGCTCCATGCTGGCCAGGTGACACTATGGAAGGCGGAGGCCTCTCCCTCTCCTGATCAAGTGAAATCACAGAGTATTTCCTTAGAAACATATGCAGATTTGAAACTATATTTTCATATGGCACATGGTATGATTTAGTATTTTATTACTTTTACGGTTAAATTCCCAGAGTAGTATTTGGAACTGCATGAAAAGTTTTTAACAAGAAGGTAAACCTCGGCCGTGTTTAGGAGACAGTGGGTGTAAGCCGTGAGCACCCCGAGGCTCATTCACCTGTCCTTTATGTAATAAATGTACAACAGTGTCAGCATCCTGTGCAATATGTAAATACTGTAAATAAGACAAGTAATAAAGTGTTTGTTATAATAAAACCCTAAGTGAACTTTACTTTCTAAATAGTCCATCGCTGGGAATTCAGGGTTACAAACCCATGAAGACAAACACTGGCAGCACCTCAGAGAACATAAAAGGCATAAGCACACAAGATGGGAAGGCTGTGACTTCTTGGAATCAACATTTACATCACTATTTAAAGGAGAGGTTACTTCCTATTGAGACATGATTTCCTGGGAACCTGGTTTAGTAGCAGATGTTTAAGTGTTTGCATCTGTCTTTCCTGTGACTTTGTGGTCATGAAACACTGCACTATAGGAACCCTGACTTCTACGCAACCCCAGGTCTTCATAGGTAGACATTCTGAACAAATATGACTGGACCCAATTTAAAGACAAGTGAGCTCAGCTGAGTTTCCTGTTCAGGACCCCTGGTCTAGGTGCAGCCATACAACAGAGTGGAGCCCTGGGGTTTGAGATCTATATGTAAAAATTAAAAAAACAAACTAGAGGGACCCATTTATGAGCATAAAGGAACAGAAGAGAGCAAGGAAATCCTCTGCTTTGGCTTATTAATCAATTACTGGAAGACGGGCAGGGTGAAATTTCTGAAGTGCTCTTAGTCCTATGTTCTAAATGGTTAATTCCTGAGCTTTTTCTCCAGTCTTTATTTTTTAGGCATGTTATCAAATTCTCAATCTGTTTAACCTCTCAAGTTTCCTATGCACTAGGAAGAGCTTTCGTGGGGAGACTCTTGAGGAATCCCACAGGCTTCCTGCCCTCACCCCCCTGTCTCACTGCCCTCACGTCCCTGGTGCCTGGGGGGAGAGCCACCTGCTCATCCTCCAGGCACAGGTGGGTGTAGGACTAAGCGCCCCCCACCTGGGACCCTCATGATGCTGTGGACAGGCCTCAGACTCTGTAACAAGACAGAAGCTACAAATGGGGTGGAGACAGAGTGAACTGTCCCCCACGGAGCCATGACACAGGGCCTGCCCCTGGGGAGACTGCACACCCTGAGAGGGGTTAGGCAAGGACACTGGGGCTGCAGGGATCTCAAACTTCTTCCATAAACAGACATAACTGTAATCTTCATCACTTTACTTCCTAACCCTGAAGACAACATGTATGTCTAACATCACAGACCATCTGAAAGGGGTAATCAAAGCATCACTTTCCAATTCTTCACTTGTCAATAAAAAAGCAGTCAGACAGCAGACTTACATCTTAGTTGTATTTTTATCATTTCCCAAGTTTATTTTGAAAAGCCTTTTCTGACAAGCAGCCATATAAATTTTAGATTAGTTATCTGCAAGCCCACAGAAATGACCTGTACTTGCCTGTAAATTAAGCTCTGAGGAAAGAATACTGATCACCATGTCAACATTTAAGCATTCCAACATAAAAACTTTTTCCAGCTCTTCATTATTTGGGTTGTAGATGGCATCTAAAAGCAGACACATGCCTCAAACCAATCACAAAGCAGCTTATAGTGTCCTGCCTTCTTGATATAACTGTGGCTCAAATGGAGCAAATAAGCCGACTCCCTTGTGGAACAAGCTACACAGAAACTAGGAAGCTCAAGATTAACAGTGCTCAAGATTATTCGGTAACCTTTCTCTTCCCTATACACGCGTGTGCACAAATCTGTGAATGAACACAATTCATCCAGGCTGAGAGCCCTGTGGACTGGGCTCCTACTGCCCTGTGGAAGGGGTGCCAGGGACAACGCGTTTATTTTCACGCTGTCCACAAACTCAGGGAAGAGGTAGGGCAGGTGCTTACGGGGCTCACATGCTGACAGGCCTTAGAGTCTATGTTTTACTTGGCTGTTCTATGGTTTTGTCTGTAACTGGAGCAAGGTGGGAGGTCCCGCTGGTTTATGAACACTTCATGTGCCTCATAAACTGTCTGAGCCAAAGATATTTATTTATTCTTTTGCCAAACACAACCACTGATTTCCATCTACAATTATTTTTAAAGTGAGAAACAGCAGGTGGACGGAAGTACCAGCACTGGCCTTGAGCTACGGACGTGACCCTCGGCTAGGACACGACGGATGCGGCACCAGCAGGTGAACACAGCTAGTGGGCCCTCTCCAGGAAGGCCCTGCAGCACCTCATGCACTGCTGGTACACGGTCTCAAAGTCAGACTCATTCCCCTGAAAGGAGGAAAAAAATAACAAAACCTGTGAAACAAAAATGCCGAGAACCTCAACACGTCACTCCAAGCGGCTGGACACAAAATGGGTGGTCCTCACACTGGCCCCACATGTGGACATGAGACTATACTTACATAATAAGGGTCTTCAATAATGAGCTGTTTCTGAGGATCGTAGCTCCCAAGTAGTTCAATTTTAGCTTTGCTGTTGTTAACTTGATTACTTTTTCTAGTCAAATCTCTGTAAAATTAAAACAGTAACTTAGTTTCTTGATCAGTGGTTTTATGTTAAACAGGGACATTTGCTAGGGTTTTATGAAACACCCAAATCAGGACGGAGCAGAGGTGACCTAATTTAAAAAGGAGTTAGACACTCAGCGGACTCATCCGACCCTTAGGAAGCTGTCAGTCCCAACAGCAGCCTATTCTCACTGACCTTTGTACACAAAACATGCATCCATAGGTCAGAGTATTAACGTGTTCTCCTGTGAACTACATGCTGACACAATCAGTCAAACACACCGTTTCCGAGATGACAGAATGGATCTCAAAAGGCCATGTGAACTAAGTCCTGAGGGCCATCAGCCCCCCAAGGTGTCAGTGCCCCCATGGTCAGCCTCACTGTTCCTCACTGTCCACTCCTGGTGCCTCAGCCAGAGCTAGGGACAGCCCATTCGACACCCTCCCCCCTCTAGCTGTCCTGCTGCTATAGAAGGAAAAGCTGGACTCCACTGAACTACATCGTAACACATCTCGACTGAGCACGGGGCATGTTGGTGTCTAATAGACAATCTCCCCAAAGTGACCTGGGCTCAAACAGGAAGGCCAGTTATCAGCCAAGTGGCCCTAGCAGGAAGGGACAGGCAGCAAGAGAAACACTGGACGAGCGCCAACCATGCTGGGATTCATTAATAAACGGTAGCAGAGGCAGCAGAGTTTTCTAACTAGGCATTATTGGTAACACCCACAGCTACTGTGTAAGTAAGAAAAGTGAGAACAATGCAATTAACTGGGGGGGGAACAATTTACGTATTTTAATGACATTCCCCACTAACAAGAACATCAGTGAAGCTGTTGGGTGCACACTCGTCCACTGGACACAGTACTGAAAAAAAGAAGCCATTTCTCTCCATCAAACGTGTGGAATGGGGATGCATTATTCCCAAGGCAACGAGTGACTCCCTGTGGACAGCACTCGTCTGTCTGTGCTGCCAACGAGCTTTGTTCTCAGCACACAAAACAGCAAAAGCTGTCATGTGCCAAACAGCACGGAGACCGGTCTTAAACTGGACACCTTCACACATCTGTCCAGTCACTTAACTCGAGTCTGTGTCTAACCTGTAGACTATACTGTGCTCACTGATTTCTGGCATGATCACAGTGCAGCATGTGGTTTCTTCTTTAGGTGTGATTCCATTTTTATACATGTAGCCCATTCCAGACTGAAAGTTCAGGAGGGCAGGAGCAAGAAAAGTTTTTAAAGCTGCTAATAATCAAACTTTCCCGAGGGTGTGTCTCTCTCTCTCTTTTTAATCCTCACCGGAGGATATTTTTCCACTGATTTCTAGAGAGTAAAAGGTGGGGAGGGGAAG